CACTAGGGGACACTGTGAAACACAGGGACATTGGGAGACACATTGCGACATGGAGACACTAGGGACACAGTGTCTCCATGTCTCCCAGTGTCCCCATGTCTCCCAGCCAATGTCCCTAGTGTCTCAGTTTCCCCACGGCTCCCAGTGTCCCCTAGTCTCACAGTGTCCCTAGGGTCTCATTATCCCCATGTCTCCCAGTGTCAACATGTCTCCCAGCCAGTGTTCCTAGTGTCTCAGTGTCCCCATGTCTCCCAGTGTCCCTATATCTCCCAGCCAGTGTCCCTAGCATAGGCGTGCGCACGGGGTGTGCCGGGTGTGCCTGGGCACACCCTAATCCCCGCGGCACGCCTATGTTCATTGAGACCAGCAGGGGAGATCGCAGGATCTCCCCTGTCGGCTCATGCAGAGCCGGCGCTATCCGAGCGCCGGCTCTGCTCTCAGCCTCCCTCCCCACTGACCCACAGGCAGGGAGGGAGGCAGGAGAGGACCGGCGGAGCTATTGCCGGCAGCTCCGCCGGGTTCCTCTCGCGAGATATGAGCGTTGTCACGGCAACGCTCAAATCTCGTGAGAGTGAACTCTAGCCCCACAGGGTGCTAGAGTTCACTCTGCACTGGACCACCAGGGAAGGCAGCAGACACAAGGATCCCCTCCTCCACTGGACCACCAGGACCACGATCCCCCCTCCCTACAAAAGGTAAGAAGGGAGGGGGGATAGCAATTAATGTACCCCCACCTCCACCCCCCCAATCACCCACCCACATACAGCACACACAGCACACACACATACAGCACACACACACATACAGCACCCACTGACATACACAGCACCCACAGACATACAGCACCCACAGACATACAGCACCCACAGACATACAGCACCCACACACATACAGCACCCACACACATACAGCACCCACACACAGCACCCACAGACATACACCGCACCCACACACATACAGCACCCACAGACATACAACACCCACAGACATACACAGTACCCACACACATACAGCACCCACACACATACAGCACCCACAGACATACACAGCACCCACAGACATACACAGCACCCACACACATACAGCACCCATACTCAGCACCCACACACATACAGCACCCATACACAGCACCCACAGACATACACAGCACCCACACACATACAGCACCCACAGACACACACAGCACTCACAGACATACACAGCACCCACACACATACAGCACCCACAGACATGCACAGCACCAACACACATACAGCACCCACACACACATACAGCACCCTCACAAACACACACAGCACCCTCACAAACACACACAGCACCCTCACACACAGCACACAAACAGCTCCCTCACACACACACAGCACACTAACTGTACCCTCACAAACAGGACCCTAACAAACACACACACAGCACACTACCAGTACCCTCACATACAAACAGCACCCTCACACACAGTACATTAACAGCACCCTCACACACAGTACATTAACAGCATCCTCACAAGCACGCACACACAAACACCCTCACCCACATAGCACACTACCAGCACCGTCACACACACATCACACTAACGGCACCCTCACACAGCACACACACACACACAGCAGTGTGTGTATGTGTGTATATATGTGTATGTGTGTGTGTGTATATATATATATATATATATCTATATATATATATATGTATATATATATATAGATATATATATATACATACATATATGCGGCGTGTGCTTGTGCTTTAGGGTGCACACCCTAATGCAATAGGCTGCGCACGCCTATGGTCCCTAGTGTCTGTGTCCCCATGTCTCCCAGTGTCCCAAAATTTTCCAGTGTCCCCATGTCTCTCAGTGTCCCCATGTCTATGTCCACAAGTGCCCCCAAGTCTCAGTGTCCCCAAGTGTCTGTGTCCCCATGCCTCCCAGCCAGTGTCCCTAGTGTCAGTGTCCCCTAGTCTCCCAGTGTCCCCATGTCTCCCAGTGTTCCCAGGTGTATCACTGTGTCCACATGTCTCACTGTGTCCCCTAGTATCTTAGTGACAAGGGAAACACTGAGACATGGGGACACGGGGAGAAATGAGGACACTGGGAGACTAGGGGACACGGACACTTTGATACATAGGGACACTGATGCCAGGCTGGCCTTCCAATTCTTTGGACAGACATGCCCCCTTTTTGGGCATGTTCGCCCTTTTGGCAGTTCTGGTCACATGATTTGCGTCAGTGGCCCAACCTTTTACCCCCTGCTTCACTGGACACTGCTGTTAGGAGGTATGAATTTACTTGAAAGTATAAATTAGAGAGAGATTACCAAAGAGTATGTGTTTTCTTATAGCTGTATCCTTTGAGTTTCCCTCCAACAACATCTCCATCAGATACATGACGCTTGGGAGGTATGACTGTTTATGGTCGATAAGGTTCTGTAATTAGGCCCTATCATAATTGTTAGCACCAGGCCCACTGGGCTCTTAATATGGCCCTGCATAAAAGACAGAAATTGCAGATATTTAATTTGCAAGCCCCGTATTTCACCCTAAAACTTTCCAAAACCCCATAAGACCTGGACATGTGCAGTTGTACTTAGGAGTAGTGATGTCCCGAACGGTTCGCGAACGGTTTGCCGCAGACTCATCATTGAGTAAACTTTGACCCTGTACCTCACAGTCAGCAGACACATTCCAGCCAATCAGCAGCAGACCCTCCCTCCCAGACCCTCCCACCTCATGGACAGCATCCATTTTACATTCATTGTGAAGCTGCATTCTTAGTGAGCTGTCCAGGAGGTGGGAGGGTCTGGGAGGGGGGGTCTGCTGCTGATTGGCTGGAATGTGTCTGCTGACTGTGAGGTACAGGGTCAAAGTTTACTCAATGATGAGTCCGTGGCGAACCGTTTGTGGCGAACTGTTCGCGAACCTTTCGGCGAACCGTTCGGGACATCACTACTTCGGAGACATCGGTGAACACTTATATGAGAGTTTTAGAGCACTAAAATATGTAATAATGATGATATTATTGAAGAAAGAGCAGTTTTTGTGTGAAAAATGCAAAAAAAACATATATGAACACTAAGTTTGACCAGGGTGGCTACTAAAAAAAACTTTACATTTTGAATACCCTGTGTGGTCTACTTTTGCACGGTATGCCATGATGGGGGTATTTTTTATTAAAGGAACACTAAAGTGTCAGGAATACAAACGTGTTTAGTTTAGGTGGATGCTCCCCTCCTCCTGTCCCCAGCTAAAAGGTAAGAAAATTCACCTTTATTCCACCGATGCGTGGGATCGTCGCAGCTGGCTCTGCTCTCACTCCGCTTCCTAGGATGATATCATCAAAATTGATATCCTCAGTCAATCCATTGCTTTCCCAAAGGAAATCATTAAGAGGCTATTGTGCTTGGACGGCAAAATGCCATGCTGTGCCAATCAGAATCTCCTCATCAAGATGCATTGAATCGATCCATCTCTGTGAGGAACATTCAACGCCTCCATGCAGAGCGTGGGGATGCTGAATGTGCAGCACTGACCCAGGAACAACCTCTAGTGAACTTCTAAGTGACTGCCGCTAGAAGTGTTACAAGGCTGTAGTGTAAACACTACCTTTTCTCTGAAAAGGCATTATTTACATTAAAATGCCTGCGGGGACATTCTATGGACACTAGAACAACTACATTAGCTGTAGTTATTCTGTTGACTATAGTGTCCTTTTAAATTATGATGTTTATGTAAATATTTGATGTGAAATCAAAGCCCTATTTCTCCACAACAGAGTGATATATATGTGTGGATGCACCTAATATGAAAGAGGTAACTTGTGGCTGAACAGACATATAGCTCAAGTTTCAATTTGTACAACTGCTTCAATCCTTAAGTGGTTTATATGAAGCTCCTAGAAAAGAGGGGAATTAGGATAAAAAAGAAGGACAGATGGATTTGAGTCCAAAACAGGGACTATTCCTCCTAAACATAGACACTTCGGACATATGTGATTAATTCAATATCATATGATAACAAAAGTAAAAGAAATTTGTAAATTCTTTAATAGGTATTACAGACAGGCTGGCAATGCCACAACAGCTAATGCTAGCGACATATACATCGAAAAAACTATGGTCTGGCATTCAAGGTCATAGCATATTTTTTATAAGAAAAGATAAGTTGCTTATGTCATAGATACTGCACAGTGTGGTTTGACGTATAGAGAGAAATACTTGAGACAGTGTGGCATGTGAGATAATAAACAGAAGGCTAGTACAGATCAGAAGAACACTTGCCATGGTTGCTAAAGATCCCTGAGCTCAACCAGATGTTTAGCTAGTCAGAGGAGCATAACTTAAAAATAATCAAATAAACAAGTTAAAAGAAATGTAGGCATGAAGAAGCACCCCCACTCCCCACACAGAAACCACCAAATTCCCTCTACCAGCAGGTCTCAGTCCCTTCACTCTGACATAAGACTGTGTCAGACAGCTATACTTAGAGAAGCTGCAGGACCACGGAAGTTGCATCAGGTCATCTTCATGTGGTGAGTAGAGAGGAGTCATCTTGAGCCTCTGGTGTTCCACTCAGATTGTGTAGTGGCACATCTGTAGGGCATCAAGTACTCTCCGTCGTGGGGCATCGGTGTCAATTGGTAGCACCGGTTTGAGCCCCTAGAGCTGCAAGTGATACAATTTCCATGGTTGCCCCCTGAGGGAGGCCGCCTTCTTCAAAACGTTCTCGAGGTTCAGAGAATGCTTTGTTGCGATCTTGCGAGGAGAGTGTGACCAGGGTGAACCGGGATAACCCTCCCGGCCCAGGGAGGGAGGGGGAAACGGGACCGGGGCCTCACGAATCAAAAGGATGTTACTGCCATTGGGCAGGATAGCAGAGTGCCAGCCATCCACTTCACTCACCACCCGAGTAGGCCTTGGTTGCTGGAAGTTATGTCACAGATTTCAGACTTTGAGTTTGTATCAGCACTCCTGGTTAGTATATGTTTTCGCTCTGTATCTCCAGATACCAGGTTGAACCCATTAAATGGGTCAAAATTCTTGGATATAGCAGCAGCTGATCTTACATGCGTCCAGTCGGCCCCCCGCCGCCTCCCCCCACAAAAGTAAATTTTTAATAGATGCAAAATATGGAAGTATTGCAATTTCTATTGACACCTTTTTTCTTGGATTAACAGAAATTTGTAGTGATAAGCTTTTTATATATGTGCAATATCTCATTATTTTGCATCTACATTACTTAAATAGCAACTCAAAATTATTTTTTTAGGGCAGAGATGGGTAATGTGACTGCAAAGAGAAACATCTAATTGTTAGAGAAGACTGATCCACATGGTACTCTTCAGATCCCAGCTAAACGTTACTAAACTTTCAGAACTGACATTGAGTAACTTAGTTCTATACTCATTGGATGTTCCTGTCTGTGTGAGTAATTGTATTGTAACCCTAATGTTATCATCATCGAAAAATAGCAAGAACAGCAACTAAATGTTTTACCAGATGTACAGGTATTTTCAGCACGGGGACAAGGGGAATTTATAAAAGTCATTTGGGTGAATTTTTTTCTCTCAAGATCACTAACAAGCAGTGGTATATACTTTTAGAACATTGACTATTTTGACTATTTTTTAGAGATTGTGGCTGTCACTGTATTTGTTGTGCTGGCTGTTTTTCTGTTACTATGTGTGTTTATCCTGTTGTGAAACCACTACCATTTTGCCATGCTTTTAATGATAAACTGCCATATTGTTTATTAATGAGGATTTTACAATACATTAGTACACTTTATGATGTCCTGCTAAATGGAAATACCAATGTACTCATCAGAGCCAAAGATCTCAGAGTTACCTTAAGATATTGAGATTCAAAAGGTCACATCTAGCATTGACTATAGGCTCTGAGAAGGTATTTTTTTGTTTTGTTTGAGGTGTTAAATCATCAGGGTTACTATCTGTAACGGATCACCTGGCACCCCGACTGGGTACCTCCGTTGAAGGATGCTCCTAGCACTTCCTGAGGACTCCAAGCACTGCAGCAGACACCAAAACCACCGAACCGTAG